AGAGAAGCAACTTAGAACTGAGGAGAAATTTCCTGACAGTTAGAACAATTAATCAGTGGAACAGCTTGCCTCCAGAAGTTGTGAATGCCCCACACTGGAAGTCTTTAAAAAGATGTTGGATAGCTTTGTCTGAAACGGTATAGAGTTTCCTGCCTAGGCAGGGGGTTGGACTAGAAGACCTCCAAGGTCCCTTCCAATTCTGCTATTGTATTATTGTAATAATTCTGTCACCACTGTCAAACTATTCACTAAGGCTGCATTACTATTACTGTTAATCTTCTCATTATTCCCAACACCCATCTCCTCCCATTTATGGGAGTCCCATGACGGAAACTTTGTTGCTTGTATCCTTACGATTTATTTTGATATTATTTCCTTATTGCTTTTTTGTACCCTATGACTATCGTTAAGTGTTGTACCTTATGATTTTTGACGAATGTATCTTGTCTTTTTATGTACACTAAGATAATATGCACCAAAGACAAATTCATTGTGTGTCCAATCACTCTTGGTCAATAAAGAATTCTATGCCATGCCATGCCATGCCGTGCCGTGCCGTGCCGTGCCATGCCATGCCATGCCATGCCATGCCATTCTAAATACTTCTGCGGATCGGCCACCCATCCTAAGAATCTGGGGACTGGGCTTGGCAGTCTTTACAGTGAAAATAGCGCATCTCGTAATTTACTTCATTTCATTTACAAACAAGCATGAAAAGTGGAGGAACGCCTCTCTCCAACTCTACCCCATTCCCACCTCTTCTGCGCTCCTTCGGTAGCCTAGAAACGAGAAAAGCCCCGCCCCTTCCATCTCGGCTTCCAGAGCATCCCCGAGACCCGAGCCTCCTCTGCGGCCTGCGCGCTTGCGCGGTTTCCATAGCGACCGGTATATACAACAGCTGAGCCCGTGTCAATGGCCGGCGGCGACATGGCGACTGTCCCAAACGAGAAAGCGGAGTCGGCGGAGGAGTTGGAAGGCCTTCAGCTTCAGGCGATCATTGGCTTCAATGGTACCGGGGACAAAGAGGGAAAGATCGGGATGGCAACCAGGGAAGTCACGGTACTTCCTAGCTGTGAGAAAAGCCCCCTCCCATCCTGCCCGCTAGGAACTCCCCCGAAAGTTGATCTCTGTAATTGCCCGGCATAAAGCGAAAAAATAATAATAATAATAACTTTGTCCCATGCTCAAGTGTTTCCTCTTCCGTGTTCATATGTTGCACTGCTGGGATGTCCAAACTGTTTTTTCAAGCTGTACCAGAGAAGGACTTCATGGACGGAATCAAACATAAATATCTATGCATGAAGTAGTTTGTATTCCGTTGCAGAGGAAGGATTGAAAAATCAGAATTTCAATTTGATATGAGGTTGTAAAGAACCGTTCTGTAAAGTTTACCTTGACTATAGTTCAAAACAAGTTAAATCTGAGTGCCTCTTTCAATTAATGGTCATCCTCCTTGTGATTATTCTGATGCTCACTGTGATTTGATTCTTAAGAAATGAATTGTTTTAATGGTTATTACCTTGCTTTCAGAAGGTTAAAGGAAAGGTGTGATATAAAAATAACAATTATAAAGGAAAATTTATGTTGGTCCTTTTGTACAGATCTTTTGTAGAGTTTTAAGCTTAGTAGATTGCTAACCACATAGTGTATCTGGGATTTTGGGTTCTTTATAGTACTGCAGAAGTCATTTAAACTTGCTGCCTTTTCATTCAAATTCCTTTTGCAACCCTCTGCAAACTTTGTTATGGTTAAAGACTTGAGTCTTTCTGAGAACTACTACTGATTTTATAGTAAAAAATGTTTTTGACAAATGTGAAACAGCTAAGAACCAAATGTTATTGACTCCCAGATCTCTATCATAGAGGAAGTAGATTTTGAGCTAGTCTATATGAATAAAAAAGATCTGAACACAAAGTTCTGCCTTAAAAGTTAACATTATCTATCCTCTAATGTTTGTATAAAATATAGCAGAATGGGTTAGAATCAGAGCATAGTATCAGAAAACAGAAAGCATTAGCAAGTAATGGAGGAGCACTGATAAAAGAAATGGAAAGCAGTAAAATATCTTGATGAATTGCACGAATAAATCTCTTGCTGCTTCTGCGAGCTGTATAATATGGTCAAATATCAGAAGCTGACCACACCAATTTTTTTAGTCATTTTGTATTATGTCATAAAATTTATAGTAATATTTACATCATAAAATGTTTTATAAAATTTGCCAAATTTCAATTCCACGAGAATAATGGGTTCCGGATTTTGGATGCATTCTGTAAGTTGGCCTGTTTGAGGTTCCTTGGTTGGAATTGTTTTGCCCACTGATCCACCCTTTTGCTCAGTTAAAATTACAGTCACCAGAGTTTTAATAGTATATAGATGTTCTTCCTCTAGTAACATAATAATCTTTGTATTTCTTTTGTTTTCAGGACATGTTCCCTTTGGTCTCATCTGCCATCCAGATCGAGAGCATCTTATCTATCCACTGGGTTGCACAGTAATTATTCAAAGCATAAACACTCCGGGTCAAGCTTTTTTACATGGTCACACGAACAATGTCTCCTGTGTCAGTGTTTCTCCAAGTGGAAGTTATGTGGCTTCTGGTCAGATCACATTCATGGGCTTTAAGGTGGATAAAAGCTTCCTTTAAAAATGTATTTGATTCCTAAAGGATGCTAGTGTTTAAATGGGGAAGAATATGATCCTTTAAAGCAGGGGTGTCAAACTCACGACTTGTGGGCCAGATGTGTCATGTGCTGGCCACCTCCACTGCCAGTTTAGCAAAGGGAGGGAAAGTTGCGATACATCATGTGACGACAATGTGACATTGTGAGTTTGACACCTGTGCTTTAAAGCCTGATCTTTCAACTCTGATTAACTATTTAGACTTCAAGTTAGGTCTCATACTATTACAAGTTCACTTAGTTCTCATTCCTGAAGGGTCCAATTGATGCAAAATGTTGCAGCCAGTTGTTTATTTGTATACAACACCAGAATGATACAGATAGTCTGTATCTGTAGTTACTTTCTGGACACAGTTCAAGATATTGTTTTTACCTCTTAAAACTTGAAGCAACTTGGCTCTGACTGACTGAGAAACAGCATCTCTTTTATGTAAAGCTATACAATACAACAACAAAAAAGGGGTGCAGTGTCTCAGTGCCTAAGACACTGAGCTTGTCGATCAGAAAGGTCAGCAGTTCAGCGGTTCGAATCCCTAGCACCGCGTAACAGAGTAAGCTCCCATTACTTGTCCCAGCTTCTGCCAACCTAGTAGTTCAAAAGCACGTAAAAATGCAAGTAGACAAATAGGGATCGCCTTTGGGGAGGAGGTAACAGTGTTCCGTTCACCTTTGGCGTTTAATCATGCCGGCCACATGACCACGGAGATGTCTTCGGAGGGTGCTGGCTCTTCGGCTTTGAAACAGACATGAGCACCGCCCCATAGATTTAGGAACAATTAGCGCATATGTGTGAGGGGAACCTTTACCTTTATACAACAATATGTTCAACAACAGAGATTTTCCTTAAAATTATTCTGTTTTATGAAACCTGCAAGAATGGCCCTTTTTCCGTACAGTATAGCTAACCAAATTCTGGAACACCTTTCCTGGGAAATTGAATTTTACCTCTTGCTCTCCCACCTCCGGTTTAGAAAAGGAGAAATTACTGCCTTCTAAACAAAGTCTTTTATGGATCTGTTAGGTGGAAAGGCAGGTTTAGTTCAATACTAATTTCTGAATTGCTTCATAGCATAGGATCAGTATGACGTTGAGCAAATCATTTAAGAGGTTTTGATTTAGTAGCCAATAATGCTTTGTCATTTTTGTGTACCCATCTGGATAGAAGAATAGCTAGTACTACAGTATTAAATAACGTGGGTAGATCACATCAGGCCCTTTGATTGCCTTGTATTAATACATTATTTTTGAGCCTGCTATTTGACTCAGAAATGGGATATGCTTGGCTAAGTTATACTTCTATTTGAGCTTTTCTGTCTCAATAAAACCGCAACCTTTCAAAAGACTGCCTGAAATGATATATGGGGAAAAAAACTTGGAATTTGGGATCCAAATAGCTTTTCTGTAACAAACTTGGGTTTTTTCCCCAAGTAATGCTGTTAGACTACATATCTATATTTTTACCCCAGGCTGATATCATTTTATGGGACTACAGCAAAAAGGAGATGTTGTCTCGACTGTCACTTCACAAGGGTAAAATCGAACATCTGGCATTTTCTCCAAATGATCTTTACCTGATTTCACTGGGAGGCCAAGATGATGGCAGGTAAGACTCCTTTAAAAGTATGTTGCCTTCTCTTTTCTTATTTTTTCTACAAAAGTCAGACGTCAGATATAGAGAAGACCACTGTCTTGTCTTGAATCAAAGTAAGATCTAGTTACTTTCCTCCCTCTCCATCATGATTCCTTTGCTTTGGAGTGTCACCCCTCAAATTTTGTTGGGGATAATATTAACATCTTTCCCAAATCATGTCTTTTTCTAAAGTTCAATGTAGCAGAGCTATGCAAAACATTTTATTTTATGCTCAATTTCCAAAATGTTCTGGAGAAAAAAAAACTTCAGAAGGCCAATGTAGCTTACTTTGCACTTGAAACAGCAATTTTGCAGAGATAATAGGACATTATAGTCAAAATAAAACCAATTTTAATGCAATCCCAATATGAAAATGAAAGAAAATGGCATATGGTATTGTGCCATTTGTAGGTTTCTTATTGCATATACAGTAGCGGACATTTCCATTGCCAGGATCATTTGCAGCTTTCTGTCTCTCCCTACATATTCCAAGGGAATGTGCAAAATAATAGGATTACAGGTAGTCCTTGCTTACTGGCTGTTCTGGTTAGCAACCATTCAACGTTATGAGAGTTTTAAAAAAGCCAGCTTTGCAACCAATTCTTGCATTTAGGGCCATCATGGTGTCTCTTGGTCATATAATCACTATCTGCAAACTTTCAATTAGCAAAATTAACGGAGAATTTGGAAGTGAAATAGCAAGTCATGGTCACGTAATGTCTTGCTTAACAACTGTGGTAAGTTGCTTAACAATGGATGTGGACATGACACTGTAAGTCTGGCACAGTCTTTCCACTTGGTGACCACAACACTTAAGTGACAGTTGCCAGTTCTAAACTGTGGTTGAAATGATTTTTAAAAACCACTATTAAATCTGATCATTTGAAGCAAATTGACAAGATAGTTGATTTGTAACTGTAGAATGATGAAGCAAGTTTGAAGTGTGAATCCATCGTTTAGGAACAGCATGATGCATCTTTTAATGATTTTTGCCTGGTTTTTGCAGACTTTCAGAAGCATAATTTATTTTTCTCTGTATATCTTTTGCCTAGTCTCCCTTTCTCATTAAGTTTGCAATTCATAAGGAAAATTTTTGAATTTTTGAAAGAGGAAATGAGAATACCATTCATCAAGGATTAAACACAATATAATTGTCCAGGCAAGCTTACTTAGCTGAATGCAACTTACCAGCTATATTTTGTGCTATACTAGATGTTCTGTAACCTGAACTGTGAAAATGAGAAGATTGTTAGCACTATGTCTGGCTTGTTGGGTTATGAGTTACATGGACTTGGTAGATGCTTATTTTGTACATTATGCTTATTACCAAGAACAGTATTTCTGTATAGAAGATGCATGTCATTTGAAACAAAAAGCAAATAAATAGCATATTGCATTATTTCGGTTTGGATATAGTGAATTGAGATAATGAAAATGTATGTCCTGTATTGGCTTCAATTTAATAATGGGAAGTACTTTTTTATTTGCAGTGTGCTTATTCAAAAACATCAATATGTTGTCAATATTCTCCATTTTTGGCTGGCATATATAAATTTTTGAACTGGGTTATAAATTCTATGAACAAAAGATTGTTACTGCATGACATGCCAGTGAACAGGGCAGATGAGATTTATTCTCATCCAATAAATTTATAAGAACAAGATTTAACTTGGGGGAAAATGCTGCATTGTATTTCAGTATACATGTCAGTTACTTTAAATCAACTACATGCCTATCAACGAATCAGTTCAGCCAAATATTGGATGTGGCCTCACAAAGCCCCATCTTTATTATAGAGCATAGATGAGAGGTTCTCCTGGGGTGCTCTGTTGATGATGATATAAATTTTTCCTTGAAGTCTTCTGCACCGGTTTGTGGTACCCAACTTTTGTTTGCCAGGAATAGATATCCCAGTTGCTTTTTCAGGGGCAACTGGAAGCAGTGTGAAATTGTGATTGGCTTCTTTTCTGCAAAGGATTTAATTGCATTGACAACCAATCTATATTGGATGGAAGAGACCTAATTTTCCCCCTGCCTCAACTGCTTGAAAAGTTAAATGAGGAACTGCGTGACAGATGGCAATCAAAAGAAATCCACATCCCAGTACTCTTTTCGACCATCTCTTTTTCTTCTCACATAAATTGGGAATTTATTTTGTAGCCAAAATTCATGTGATATGTATGATAAGCTACTAATTGGTTCTTGAAACCCACTATAAATGCTGTTTTATTTCTACAGTTTAGCTAGTGTGAGATGTCCACCTTTCACCACACTGTTAACTAAGCAATTAAGGCTTACCATGTTGTATGAATAAGTCATTAGATTGGCCTGAAATGAATGAGCAATCAAAGTGTTACAATATTTTCTACTCCCTTCTTCTTTTTCTGTTCAGTCTGTTTTCTCGCCTCTTATCTGGTAAGTGAGGCAATTCATTTGATTTGGAAAACTTCATAAATGTTCATAAAAAGTGGGACTGTAAAATGAGTTAAAATAAAACCCCACAGAGCACTTCTAGACCTCCTTAATGTTTCAGGGTTCCATGTAATAAATCCATAGCAAGCAAAACTCTGAGGCAATTGGATTCCACTAAGGAATGTCTGCATAGTAACTAAACCCAATATAGCTACAACTGTGTTTATTTGGGAGAAATGTTCCTCGAAGCACAATCATATCAAGTTCAAAATACCTATTCCCTGAAGACAAACAAATCTCTTGCTCTTCTGACAGCATTGTGGTGTGGAGTGTCCAAAAGAAAGAAGCCATCTGTGGTAGTCCTGCTTCTGCTCGTAGTGCTGGTAACCCAACCACACTGGTATATTCCAACTGCAAGGATGAGATGTTCATCAGTGCGGGAAAGTATGGCTTTGTTTTTGAGGAAAGGCTATCAAATTCATTTCTTTAAATATGTACTTTTGCTGTTAATTGCATTGTCCCCAAGTTACTCAGAGGTAGCCCTTGATTTATGACTGGTCACTTAGCAACTCTTTGAAGTTATGATGCACACCTCCCAAGAGGTGCTTGTAATCTGGTTCCAAATGGGTCACATGACCACATTTTGGGCACTCAGTAACTGGGCCACAATTAATGACCATGGTTTACAACATTTTTGCCCGAAACCAGAATTTCTGGTCTTCTGTAAGAACATTCCATAGCAAACAATGGGTTTGCTTAATAACTGCTAATTTGCTTAACAACAACTGAAAGAAAGATTATAAAATTGAGTTGGTCATGTGATTACTCAACTTTATGACTGTCATGACTTACAACTGTAATGAGCAGGCTCCATTATTGTTATAAGTTGAGGACTACCTACAATGGAAAATATATGAAACCAAAGATATCCATGCTTTTTTCTTTACTATTGCTAGACAGTGAAACAGGTTTCTGAATGTCCTGCAGGACACTTAAGTGGACTCTATGAGCATGCAGTTCTGAAGGGAAAGTGCTTCAGAAGGTGGGGGGCAGGGGAGGGTTGGTATGATTGTAGCACTGACCGTGTTTCCCCAAAAATAAGACATGGCCTGCTAATAAGCCCAGTCGGGCTTTTCAGAGCATATGCCATAATAAGCCTTCCCCCAAAATAAGCCCGCCCCAACTATTTAAGCATATGCACAACTGGTCCCCGCCATTACCACTGTACCACCTACCGGTACAGCTTGCGGGGCAAAAAGAGGGCATGCCACAAAAACAGCAGCAGGTGAAGCAAAATGCTTCCATCCCCTGCCCTTCCCTCCCGTGCGAAAATAGAGCCGACCACAAAAAGATGGCAGGCCAGCAATGCGATCATCCCCTTCCGTCTGTTCCTTCTCACACAAAAAAACACCGCCCACACCATCCCAATGGTAAAGGCAGCTTGCCTGATTCCCTTCCACGCCATCCCTTTAGCGAGGGGTGGCAGGGGGGGGGGAGAAGCGAGGCGCGTTCCTCGTCCTTTTGTCCAGTGAATCCCCTTGTTAAAAAAAACCTCATGAGTTCAACTCGCTCACTTTTATGACCTTCAGGATTCTGTAAAATGAAGGAAAGCTGAAGTAAGATTATAAACATAATCATGGTTTCACTTAGCATCCGCTTTGCTAAACGACTGAGTTGCTGGCCCCAATTGTGGTCACTAAATGAGAACTACCAGTGCTGTAGTCAGGAGATATTTCACTCTTTTCCAAACTGCTTTAATCAATCTGTAATGAAGCTATTTCACTCACAGAAATAGAAAATATTTAGACTCCCAACACAATCTCTTGGCATATATTAAGTTGTCACCTACTTTCTTGAAGTTAGGATAACTGACTTTGGTAGTCCAGAAGAGAAACAGTAAGTGCCTCTTTTAGTTCTGCAGCGAAGTGTTTTGTATGATATAAATCTATCTTGAGTTAATAATGAAATACATGCTTTGGCTTCAGTGGAACTATTCGAGTATGGGAACTGGATTTACCCAACAGAAAAATCCGACCAATTGAATGTCAAACAGGGCAGCTGAAAAGAATAGTTGCTTGTGCCATGGTAAGATATCTACTGATCTGTGATTTATAGTATGTGTAAAAATTGAGTCAAGTAAACAAAAGAAAAAAAAGAACAATTTATAGAAGATCTACTTAGTTTTGGAGAAGTGCATTTGACTTTAAACATCTAATTCAGTAGGATGAAATGTATCCAAAGTCATTTGCTGTCACCTCCCTCTTAGATACAATTCAAATCTTTGGAGGGAGATGCCGTAACTAACCATACACAAATAAGAACCAACAAAAGTAACAGAGATACTTTTGTTGTACTTTATATTACAGCAATAGTAATATAACTTAGATTTCGATATAACCCCACAGTGATTTACATTCCTTGCTGTGTGGGGTACAGAGTCAGCATATTGCCCTCAACAATCTGGATCCTCATTTTATTTACCTAGGAAGGATGGACAGCTGACTCAACCTTGAGCTGGCCAGGATTGAATTCCTGGCTATGGGCAGAGTCAGCCTGCAATCCTGCATTCTAACCACCGAACCAACATGATTCCGTTTTGAAATGATTATTACAAATACATTTTGAAATGATGGAAGATATAACTGCAGAGTCAAGCAGCTTGGGGTATCCTAGGAGATACATTTAAATTCTATGCCTCTGTTCTCAACCATCTTCCCAGAAACAGAGTAATAAATGGTGTAACTAAGACCCAAACTCAAAAATACAGCCTATGGCCATCCACATGAAACTTTTCATTGCCGAATCTTTAACAGGAGGAAAAATCATACTGTAAAGTCTGTTCCAAACCAGAATCCTATCTGTAGTGCAGGAAGCTGGAAGCAAGGCCAAACATTGTTTTTGCCTCACTATTGTAAAAGTATTTCAACAATGAAATACTAAAAGTATTTCCTAATTCTGTCTTGCTTCAGTGATCTTAAAGGACCTGAACTTTGTTTGTTTGTTTGTTTGTTTGTTTATTCTGGATGAGGCTCCAGCCTTGTCTATGAAAAGTCTAATTGAAGCCACCAGTGTCTTTTCCTTTTTGTTCTGCCTGTATGTTAAATCATAATTATAATGAAACACTATCGCTGGGTCTTGCTATATTTTGAAGTTATAGAAGGACCGTGTGCTAGTCTTTTACAATGGTGCCCTACTTTGAAAGTGTCGTCTTTGTAAAAGCAATGACCTTTGTGTGTGTCTAGACCTTTTAATTTTATTTTATTGTGTTTTATTCAATGTTGCAATTGCTTTTATTGCCAAGCTTATATTAAATCAATAGTTCCCAGCTTTTTTTTTCCTTTATGTGGATCCTTACATTGTCATTTAATGCTTTTGAGTACTATTGTATAAACAAGTTGGCAGTGAGATGCTGTGAGGATTTTGGTACTAGTCTTATGAGATCCCAACATTAATTCAATTTTATTTAGAAAAACTTTAAAGGCCATCATCTTGTGGCCTCATCCAATTTTATAAGGGTTTGGCTTTCTCATCTGAAATCCTGGGATTTGAGATTTCAAGCAAGAATGGCCAAGCAATCTTGTGAGATTTTACTCATTTTGTGTGTGTCTGCAATGGTATCCAGAACACCTTTATTTTAAATGAATGGTTGCTTTTTCCTTAAACGATGATTAGTAAATTTTCAAAAATCATCAATAAAAGATTTGTGGAAGGTGAAGCATACAGCAGACAAGTATAAAGCAAGGAAATAGACACATAACATCAGATAGTTAATATATAGTATCTAGGTCCTTTTATATGCGATGACATCCTATTTTTATTCCTGTAAGTCAAGTATAAATAAGGCAGGGAATTTACGTTATAGAATATCAAAGCTGTTAACTCACCCCAATGAACAGTGTGAAGCATGGTTTTTAACCCATTTCCTCAACTTCCCTAGATGGCAGAGGATGACAGCTACTTCTACGTTGGCACATCCACTGGTGATATCCTCAAAATCAATACAAAAAGCACACTGATGAGTAATTTTGGCCCAATAAAGGATAAACACAGCTTGGTAAGTGGTTGCTGTTTTCCACCTTTTGCTGAAAGAGAGCAAAGTCATGCAGACAATATTGTAAGTATCATAAGTTAAATACAACAGCAGCTACATTTCAGCAGAGGTCAGTTATATGGAAAGGCTGATAAAATTCTAGCCATCTAGCTATTGGCAAAGCTTATCACTCTTTTTTATGAGCTATTTTTTTACTGGATCACAGAGTGAGCTTCCAAGTAAAAGAAAGAAGAATAACAACGTTAGTAGCCCTTGGGATGAGCTACTTTCTGATGTAGCTGTTTTCGAACTGCCTAATGGAAGTTCAGTTTGTTTTTTCTTTCCTTCTCGACCACTTACTGTGGTAGAAGGATATTCTTGATGAAATCCGAGATGTTTGAACAAGTCTCCTTCAATCATAGTGTTGCATAATAAAACAGAAATACTAACAATTGGAGATATCAAGGGGCTACTTTCAACCTTCAAGGAGATTGCTTGCCCATCTAATTCCTTACTGTCAGTTCTGACTGACAACATTTTTCTGATAATTTTGAGGCCAGTGTGGTGTAGCGATTAAATTATTTAGCTAGGAGACCAAGACTGTGGTTTACCTCATCCACAGAGGCTTATTGGGTGAATTTGGCCCAATCACACATTCTCCGTTCAATATACTGAGGGATGTTGTGGGAAACCATGGGAGGAAGAAGTACTTATGTATGCTGCCTTGAGCTTTTGCATGAAGGGTAAATCTAATAAATAACATTTTGCCCAAGGGCTGCGAACATTGTTATTCTTCCTTCTTTTAATTGGAAGTGCCAGGGGCCCAAGCTGAGATTTTTATATGCAGAACAGGTGATCTGCCAGTAAAATGATATTGCAGAACACTTGTAGCAATTTACAGCAGGGGGGATGTAAAGTATTATGCTCATTAGCATATGTGAACAAATAATTTTAAAAAATCTAGCAAACTGGATAGATTTTGTGTCATTTTTCATATTGGTCTTGGTTTCCTTACAAGCATTCATTGAGCTGGTAAGGAATTCAGAAAGTACATGTATTGTCATTTTCTTCCAACGGTTGCAAGTTAATGTACCTCCACTGGCTGCAATCCCACTGGGAAATTTCTCCCCATTGTTGGCAAAATTTATTTATTTGTTCATTTATTTATTCCAGTTTGCACTACTTCTGCAATCTAATTGAAACCATAGCAGTTCACACCAAAGTAAAAACATAATCAGCATTGATAATGCTGAAACATCCCTAGCAAATGCATTCAAATAGAAACCAAACCACTCATAAAAACTATATCAATCAGGTTAAAATACAGACTTTGCATAACTGGCATGAACAGAAAACACAACATTTCAATGAGAAAAAGAAAACGAGGAAGAAAATAGTGTCAGATTATTCTAATTAAGGCTAATAGCCTAACATTCAATATCTCGGTGTGCTAATGGTCACTTCTTAATATGACATTAAAAGTCCACAAGTAGTGGGACTTTTTATTGGATGTTAAAATCAGCAGCAAGGGCTAAGCTTAGATTTTGGTGGGGAAGGGAAAACATACCAATGCCAATAATATATTATCTCTGTCATCTATACCAAAAATCTATATAGGACAAATATTATTTTGGAGTACATATGTATGTACTCGATTGGAAGAATAACACTGGAGACAGAACAAACGCTTTCTTAATCCACACCATATGGCTCTTCTTAGCAACAATATGGGAAATCTTGTCATGGTTTTCATGGCCCCATATCCAATTAGCTCATACTTCAGCTTGCTGGCTATAAACAGTTCTTTTTATCTTGCTCAATATTGGGTAATGGCAATTCATTTATATTTTTTACAGTCACCATAATCCTTTTTTTTTTTTGCTTTTGAATATATTTTACCCAACCTCTGGATTCTAATCCAGATTCTAAAGGGTATTTTTTATAAATTATTTTTTACTTTTTTAATCTTTTAAATATCTCCTTAAACATTCTCCCATTTGTGGATTTTTTTTAAATATACTTTTTTATTTTCCATTTTCATAACATACAATCACATGTATATTATACATAGCCAGTATCCTATTGTATTAAGTAGTAATTACCTCAGTTCCTCTTGTCATCAACGCCCAAAAAGATAAAAACCCATTATTAGCTCTTCTGCTCTCCATACACCTCTTTCTTCTACCTCTCTCCTACCTCCTTTCTTCCCTCCATCATCCTTTCCTACTCTACTTCCCCTTCCTTTCTCTTTCTCCTCTCTCTACATTCCACTCCTCCTTATCCTCCTCATCTCCCCCCCTTACCCTCTCCTATCCCTTTCTTCCCATCTTTCTTCTCCCTTCTGTTTTCCACTCTTCCTCTCATTGGTGTATTTCTGCTTCTGAGCAAACTCCAATCTATGTTGATGGTATTTATGCTTCCATATCAATATACTTAACATATCTTAGTTTTAAAGAAAAAATAAGAGAAAACAGTATACACGTGCAATCATATTACATTAAAATCTAACATCCCTCGTCAAACCTAATATACATCCCTCCCTCCCCCTCCCCCCAACCCCCCTAGCCTTCCCTCCCCCGACTTCCCAGAACCTATACATGGTATAAATCTTTAACAAAAACAGTCTAAAATATATTGGAAAAAAGAATAGAAAATTGATAATATCTTTACCTTGAATTTAGCTCCTCCTTGCTAATCTAACTTTAAACAATTTATAGCATTCCTGATCTTAATCATAAGCTATCTGAAATTTCTTAGTCCCATATTTATTTCATTCTTGAATTGTAGGCAAGTCTTCCTTCTTCCAGTATTGCGCCACCTACAATCTAACTGCAGTTATTAAGTGCAAAATCAAATTAATCTCTACAGCTGTACAATCAGTAATTATACCTAACAAAAATAACTGAGGAGTAAACTTTATCTTTTTTTTAAGAACATTTTGCATAATCCTAATTTCATCTTCCAGTTCTGTTGACTTTCCCCCTTGTTTATGTCTATGTAATCTATTTAAATTTATCAAAGCTCCTCTCATATACGCTTTACTTGCATCCCATACAATTTCCATAGATGTACCCTTATTCATATTAAAAACAAAGTATTCTGCTAACAATTTTTTACATTCATTAGTATATTTCTCATATCTAAATAAATTTTCATTCAATCTCCAAGACCTTCTTGCTTGCGTCACCCCTCCCAACTCCATCCAAACTGGATTATGATCTGATAAAACTCTGGCACATATTTTTGTCTTCTTCACCCAAGAAAACACATCATTGGTAATTAGTTGATTGTTGTTTTTTTAATTGTTGATCCATTCGTCTGGTAATCACACGGTTTTGTCTTAGTTCCTTGGCTCCTTGTACTTCTGAGAGAGAAAGATGATCCATCCTTGTTGATAATTGTGTAGTTTGCTGTCTGTCTTGTCCTTCTTGTTCTCAGGTCCAAGTGGGGCGGGATGTCCGGCCTTCAAGATATTATGGTAAAAATCTCGAGCTTTCCATACTGATTTAAGACGGTATCTTTGCCCCTCAAAAATGAGTGATAGCCCAACTGGTGCCTCCCATTTGAACTGTAGCTGACAATTTTTAAGCTCTTCGACTAAAAAGGCATAGTCTTTCCTGGACTGGTGGTATCTCTTTCAGAACAGTCACTTTCTGACCCTCAATTTGAAGGTTGGTTTTATAGGACTCTTGCAATATCATATTCCTCATGTCTCTTGTAGTAAAGTAGATCACAATATCCAGTGAAAGCCCCCTCAAACCGGAAGTCTCCCATTTCTGATTTTGTATTCTGTTCTGTCAGTTGTTTCAGTTGTTCTTCCTGACATCTAGCTTCTTTATCAAAAATGGATCCTGACTTACCTAAGTCTTACTTAATTGACATTTCACTCACTACTATGTATTCACTCTGTCCTTAGACTATAAACGTAATAATAGCAACATAATTCATTTTCAACAATTTAGAGAGAGAAATAAAATCCTTTGTTAGATGCGCTGTACTTCACTTTTTAACTTTAAAAAAAAAATCCAAAAATTGAGATGGGGGCCTGCACTCTAGGAAAGTCTTGTGTGTTCAGAGAGATAAGAAAAATTAAGTCACTGGAACAATTCAAATAATCAAAGATAATTCTGTCTGAATACATAATTCAAACAGAAGCTGTTTTCATCCCACAGAAGAGCATATGGTAACTTGTATAGAGGTGTTTTCATTTCCTAATGAAGATATTCCTGCTCACCAGCAGGTCCACTTTGGCCAATACAAATCAAAGGTTTTGTCCTGGTGATGTACCATATACTCAAGGGAATGATATGGCCAGCAACTTGTCTGATTTCACTTGATTTTCCCATTTCAGTAACTTCATCCTCATTTTAAAAATGCAGCAGGGAAACAAGTCATACTTTTAAAAGTTTTATTTAAAGAAGCTTAGGTTATTGTTCTACAACAGTTTTGCTTGTATTATTCTAACCTGCAGACATTCTCAGAAACGTCTTCCATGTTCTGGAAGACAAGGAGAAAGCAAAAATAATTTAGAAATGTATTTCCAATTTCAGAAATTGTAAGTAGCTCACTACTAGAAAAAAAAACTCAGAATTTCCCAAGCAGCCCAGGATGTAATGAAGGTATAAATGACTTGTAGCACTGTTCTGGTTGCTTCAGACAGCCTGACCTTGGAAAAAGACAGAGTTTGAAAATTAAAAGTAAATGCAATTGATGCAAGAAGAAGAATAAAATTCCATACATAGAATGGAATATATAGCCCTTTCATGAAAAAAGCTATTTTACTCATTGTTTGCATCCAGGTGTGCTCCATTATTGACATACAATGTCCATTAGTATAAAGCAATGGATAAAGCAGGAGTGTCAAACTGTCAAGCCATGGGCCGGATGTGTCATACACAAGCCACACCCACCCCAGCTCCATGAAGCCAAAAAAGTTGTGATAGGTCAAGTGACATCAACGTAACCCAGCAAGTTTGATACCTGTGGGATAAAGGAATATGCATTAGTTCAGAGATTCAACTTAC